AGAAATATTAGACAAAAAAGTGAAATATTATTAAAATGTCACATTTTTATATGAATATATATATATATATATATATATATTAAAAAGTAATTTTATTATTTGATGAAAAGCTGAATTGTCAGCAGTCATTACTCCAGTCTATGTTGATTTGCTGCTCAATAAATATTTCTTATTATTATCAATGTTGAAAACATTTGTGCTGCTTAATATTTTTGTGGAAAGAACTGCATTTATTTGAAATATAAATATTTTGTAACATTATCAATGTATTTTCTGTCATCTATTTAATGCATTAATTTGATAAAATAAAAAAGTATATTTAAATATATTGTTTAATGTAGGTTAAATGTATTGTGTTAAATGTAGGCTACTAATAATTTATATATATAAAAAAAAAATAATAAAATTTAAAATGTAATTAAATCTTACTGACCCCAAACTTACTGACTGAACTTCATATGTTCAGCAATGAAAAGGTTCTCTTGACCTAAAAAAAAGAAAGAAAATAAAAAGAAAGAAATAATGCTAGACATATCTGTAAACACAACTAAAATCCTTATTAATTACCAACTAGTACAGTATTTACAGTACAGACCTTGTAAACCCCTCATAAGCACTTATTTCTTGGCCGTAGCTTACATAATTAAAATACTGTATCTCATGGTCACCTCCATGAGCACAAGTCCTCTGATCAAACTTCTCAAAAAGCAAAATTTTATAAGGCCCAAATGTTTTTTTTATTCAACTATCTGATGAGATCATCATTTAGATTCAAAGGAATTAGTAAGTGGATACTTCAGAGCACAGTTATTGTGTTGAGCGACTGAAGGGAATTCCCACCGGAGCAACACTGCAAGTTAGGGTTAAATGACTTCCTCAAGAGCACAATAATAATAAAGCAGAACGTGACGTGACTAACACTTGAGACCACATCCACAGTTCAGCAGCTCTGGGATCTGCTCAGCTGCTAAGCCTGTCGTTTATTATGCAGAACTGGGGGAAGATTCTGAGTGAATTTATGCTTTGGGAGGAAGGGACGATCCAGCAAATACAGTGCACTTGACCTAATTCTGTATTTTATGATCCTGTTGGATTCTTTTATTCATTGTTCACTATTGTTTAAGTGCCTGGTCTTCAAAGTTCAGCAAATGTGTTGGAGCCAATGTCCTAAAATTAAATTTGTAATATACTGATTTGAATAATCATCTTTTATTCTTTATGGATTGCAATATATGTTATTTAGCCAAATATCCAAGCTGCTCTTAATGGTGACCAGTGGCTGTCAAGCTAATAAGGGCAAAACGTACCATAAAGGTGATACATATGACCCTATATGGGGAAGTCGTGGCCTAATGGTTAGAGAGTCGGACTCGTAACCCAAAGGTTGTGGGTTCGAGTTTCGTACCGGCAGGGATTGTAGGTGGGGGGAATGAATGTACAGTGCTCTCTCCCACCTTCAATACCACAACTGAGGTGCCCTTGAGCAAGGCACCGAACTCCCAACTGCTCCCTGGACGCTGCAGCATAAATGGCTGCCCACTGCTCCGGGTGTGTGTTCACGGTGTGTGTGTGTGTTCACTGCTGTGTGTGTGCACTTTGGATGGGTTAAATGCAGAGCACTAATTCCAAGTATGGGTCACCATACTTGGCCACATGTCACGTCACATATACTGTAATAATATATATTTTTTTTTCATATTTTAAAAATGTTTAATATATAATGTAAGGAATAGATCACATTTAAGTTGTATTTTACTCAAACCTGGTTCATTTAAATTTCAATCATTGTTTAAATCTGGTCTCGTTTACAGTATGAGTACATTGGTATAAAGTCTAGTCCACTTTGCAGCTTTTTCTGGACACAAACATCTAGAGAGGAAAGGACTGTCTAACTGACATGTAAACTGACCAACATGGCAAACTCGGCTAAATGCAGTGATTATATCAACCTGATACTTGGTAAACACGACTTTGTTTCCAGACAGATGGGTGACACTCAGACACTGCATAAAGTCAGCCATTCAAATTGGAACTAATTGACATTTTTGAGAGAGCGTTGGTAGAAGACACAGTTGAAAAAAGCATGTTAGAGTTCAACCTGCAAAGGCAGCTGACATGATCTTTTCTTTTTTTTGACATTTTAACCATAAGACACACACGGTAAACTATATAAAGGGAACAAATAAAGCATACTTTCTTCGGGAGAATTCTCTAAGGACCTGCTGCACCAGCTGCCATTTTGATAGATTGAGGCTCGGTGCAAATTGCTTGGCCCGACTATAACTTGACACCTCTGTAACTGTAAACAAAGCCGCTTTTCATCACAGGCTTTTCCCAACACCGAACACATGTACGCCTGCAAAATACACATTTACAAAACCTAATCCGTTATCCTTAAGTGTTTGTGAATCCCTCTTTCAGGCAGAAGGTAGAGTTAGAGCTGCAAAATTAGACTGAGTCAGGGAATTTAAATAGCTTTAGTGTCTATTTTGCGTGATGACAAGCTACAGGGTTGTTCTTACAGTATTTACGCAGCTTGCCAGAATGTGATATATGAGACCACAGTACACATGGTAAACACACGCCCACAGAGTGCCACTATGAGGTGCTGTTTCACTGAAGTCAACCTGAGCAGCTGTTTGTTTCAATTTCTTGAATTTGTTTAGCCCCAATGTCCAAATGGATTTGAATGCAGTTGATTTGAAATGGAATCTGAGTAGCAATGTGCATAAAGTCAGATTACATTTGTAAAATGATCAGACGTATCACCAGTGATAACCGAACTAAAATGTTACTTCAGTGCGCTCAGTTTACATGAAAAATTCATATTTGTATGAAAAAATAATGAATGTACTTTTAACAAAGTACATTTGTTCGTACATAACCCAATATGTGCTATAAGGGTGTAAATTATCAGCAAATAAAACAGTCAAACATAATTATGTAGACCTAGCATCTGCAAGGATCAACTGTAAAGACTGCAAATATTAATTAAGTAAAAAATACTGTAAATGTGCATACAGTAGGGTCCAAAAGTCTGAGACCACATTCAAAGTCTATAGCCAACATGGAAATTTTGAAGGACTGCTGTGTGAATGAACAAATAATAGGCTACTACAGTAAATATTTAAGATACTGCCTCCTGAAAATGCTGGGTTAAAAGAGCTAATGTAGAATAATTATTACAGTATTAATAAATTATTACATACCTCTGTGGAATAATTGATTCTGATTAGTCAGTCACAACATTCTCTGGTTATATAAGCCAAACTGTATATTTGACTGTTGTCCCTGGCAACCACTTTCCTACATTGTTTCATGTTTCATAGCCTGCTGCGATCGCGTTCTTCTCACATATAAAATTAATTTCAGCTCACATCAATATTTCATGTTTTCGTTTTATTTATTTATATTTTTTATTTATTTATTCAGTAGCTGCGTAATGATCAAGATAATGTACAGTTCAGGATGACACAATAATATTCATATTTCGCTATTAAAGCAGCAATATAAATATTACAATTATGTACATACATATACTGTATATATACACACAGATACTAAATAATATTAGTACTTTAAAATATTTATATTTAATAAATAAACAGTAATAATATTATTATTATTCAAATAATAAATGCTTATGAAAGTTTAACTTATAAGTAAGGAAGAATCTTCTTCAGCTAACAACACACACACACACACACACACACACACACACACACAGAGATGTATTGATCTCAGAGAACATGACCTCCTTTGCACAGCCTCCTGATCCACCCTTATACTAAATAATATTAGTACTTTAAAATATTTATATTTAATAAATAAACAGTAATAATATTATTATTATTCAAATAATAAATGCTTATGAAAGTTTAACTTATAAGTAAGGAAGAATCTTCTTCAGCTAACAACACACACACACACACACACACACACACACACACACAGAGATGTATTGATCTCAGAGAACATGACCTCCTTTGCACAGCATCCTGATCCACCCTTCACTATACGCTCTTTCCATCAGTTTCTAAGCACTGTCAGAGAGATGGAGCAGCATTCCAATCAAGTCCCTGTTTTATGTGCTGTATTCGAGACAGACCTAAATAAGCCTAACATGGCCTATAATTTATGTCTGGTAGCTGCGCCGTTATACATCACAGAGTCAAAGCACCGGTGCTTTTCTTTATAGCACCTGTCTTCCTGTGCGCTGTTGCCACTGATAGCAGATACATCTCACACTTAATAATGGGCCTTCTGAAATGCACATTATGATAGACGGCTGCCTGTTGTAAAAAAAAAAAAATGTTTCAGTCAAATGACATTTCTTTTCATTTCCACCGTGCTTTTGTGTAAGGTTGTCTCCTAATCTTCAAGACTAAGTGCCTTTTTGAAGGAAATTTTAAATGCACAAAAGAGAATATTTTATGTTTCATTTAGGCATGAGAACACTCCTCTTGTGATTTTGACTAAGAATATTAATAAAAATAAATAGAATAGCTATTTAAGATAGCTATATAAGATAATTTTTTGTTAGTTTTTATACAAAAGCATTATTAAATTAAAAAGCATTACACTTGAGTCTACTTATTAAGATTAGGGTTAGTCTATTGTTATTGTTATTATTATGCTTGTATAAGTATTATTGTTTGTTATATTTTTCTTCTTGCAGACAAAAAAAAAGCCAAGTTTGAGCTACAGACCTGAATCTTCACTCAAAATCTGTGGTTTATAGAAGAGAGCTGCGCTATCACTTTTCTAAGAAATCTGACTTTTGGTTTTTGCTTGACGGTGGAAAAACAAGTGAAAAAATCTCACAGATTTACAGCATATACCACAATAACCACCAAGCAATGCCCTAGCAACCACCCAGAACAACCTAGCAACTGTATTGAGGTGTGCCAACATTGCAGAGATGATTTTTCAGAAAACAATGAGTTTTGAAAAATTTCTTTATTAGAAATTATTTATGTATAAAAATTAACATGCTTCACATACCTCATATGTCTTATTTTACAAATACTTTAATTCAGGCACTGTTTCTGACGTTTTTTTTCTCTCTTTTTGGATGAAAAGCAAACATTAGCAATCAGGAATACACATTAAGTTGCCATTTATCACGGTCAACAGACATTTTATTCTGCAGCACAAACAGTGCAAAAACAAAGAGAGGAGAAATCATAAGAACAGAATCTTAAATTCACAAACATCTAAAGAGACAAATCAGCTTGTCTCTCTCTATCACCTGACATTTCCAGATATGAATACAGGATCCTGTCATCTACTCCATCATCCGAGCTCAGAACCGTCGGTTTACTTGAAAGTGGTGATTCTTCCAATTTCCACAGAAGAGTCTTTGATAGCTGTATTCGTATGAAAGTGACTCACTCGTGCCGCCCCGGTCCAGTAGACGTTGGTTCCGATATTTCGAGTATTCGACGAACGTCACACCATTTCTAAATTGTGATTTCAGATTTGCACAGGTGACTGTGACAGTTATAGCACATTTTGACAATAGGGCAAATTTGAGTTCCTCAAAGGTGTGTACTTATGCACAAGCAAACATTACTCCAAAGAGCACTTCGTACATCTTCAACAGTTTCACAAGGCCCATGGTGAGGTAACAATACAGCAACATAGTTCAACAGCATTCCAGAAGGTTCTTTTTTTTTTTTTTGCAAAAAGGAAAAGAAATAAAGAAAGAAAAAACAACACAGCACAGGATGTCAAAACCAGCATGCTTAACATCTGTAAACAATGGTCACTTGTCTTTGCTGCTGTCATCACCAAAGAGAAAACAAGAGGAAAAAGCTCCAATGATTTTTAAATACTTTTTTCTTTTTTTTTTTAAAGCCACCACATAGTGTTAGCGTCAATGAAACAGCAGACACTGACATGTTGTCCTTAATTAGTGTGAATCACTTTAACAATGACATCTGGAATAGACAGAGCAAGCTGTAATGGAATAGTCTGGGTGACAGACCGTCATTCCGACACACCGTCTCAACAGTCTCGGCCTCCCCAGATGCTCCCTGTGTGACTTCACATAAGCTTCATTAATGGAAACATGTCTGTGGGGGTCTTCCAACCATCCGCTATCTCACTTCTATAAGTGACATAACGTGAGAGTGATTTATCTTGAAATGCTGTCTTCCAGGGGTCACTTCTGGGGTTTGGTAGTGGCCTTTTATCACTTACCTAGATTGCGTGGTTGCTGTAGCTGATGTACGTTTGTTTAGGGCTGAGTCCTACAGAGGAAGAGAGAATGTGATAAAAATAGATAATTTGAGTCTCAGAAGTGCTTAAAGGAAATTAAAATTTGCAGAAAATACGAAAAGCCAAAAATTTGTTTCTTCATTGGAACAGATTTGAAGAAATGAAAGCGGCAAATCCTCTGCAGTTAATGGGTGCCATCATAATGGGAGTCCAAACAGCGGATAAAAACATCACAATAATCCACAAATAATCCCCATGACAGTCAATCCAGTTATCAATGTCTTGTTAAATGAAAAGATGCGTGTTTGTAACTTTAAACGGTCGCTTCTGGCCAAATAAGTCCATAACCCATAAAACGTTTTTTTTCTAGTGAAAAAGTCCTTCCCTGTTGTCCTCTCACATCAAAATCCACGACATATTTGTTTAAAATGGTTTTGGACTGATTCACTTGTAAATTGATCTGTGCATATTTCTCTCCTGATTAAGATATTACTGTTTCACTGGAGAAAGCAATATTATAGCTCGAGTACTCATTTGAAGGTAAAAACTAGGGTAATGATGCATTTGTTTCTGACAAACATGCAGCTTTTTATCACGCGGATTACTTGTGATGTTTTTATTAGCTGTTTTGACTCTCATTCTGACGGCACCCATTCACTGCAGAAGATCCATTGGTGAGCAAGTGATGTAATGTTAAATTTCTCCCCAAATCTGTTACGATAAACAAACTCACTTAGATCTTGGATGGCATGTGGGTAAATACATTTTCAGCAAATTGTCATGTTTAGGTGAACTATTCCTTTAAATATAAACGCTGTTGCTTTATTAGCATTTTTCGATGTGAAACACAGGAGGTAATTCACCAGATACACGTTCACAGGGATCTTTATCAAAAGCAGAGTGGTTTGACGCAGTACCTCATGTTTCATTTCTCATCAGGTCCTTTTCCAATGTGATGACAACTTCTTTGATCTCCCTATTAATTTGCCAGGAGTCAAGTAGCGTGTCTTGTTTGATATCAGACTCTGTCTTTCTTGATATCAAAGTATGGATTACGTGACTGAGACTGTTGTCACCTTTTGCACTCGAGGACAGATTAATACCTTCAAAAACATGCAAGTTACCTGCAAACAGTGACAAGTCTGCTTTTAAAGCATTCATTCAACAAAAACCTGTAATCAACAGCCTAATCCTGTCATTCGGCATCCATCTTGCAATAGCTGTGTAGTGCAAACAATCAGCAAAGGTTGCATGAGTGACACTGCCTTCAGCTATTCATGTAATAACCTTGCCAAAGAAGAAGGGTCAATGGAAAATTCAAGCTCATTGCATCGTTATATGGAGATCAAAAGGTTACCTCATGCAATCATGCAGAGCCGTTGGAATAAGTAAGGTGAGGTGATATTTGACCCAACACTACTGGTGCGGTTCTCCGGTCTGGACTCTCCCTCGGCGAATGGAGCACTGACCCGTAGGTACAGTCAGATAAATAGTTCCATTTCAGCTAAAAGGGAGGGACCTTGTCACAAAAAGCAAATTTAAATGATTCTTTCTCTATATAAAAATTTCATAGGAGGTGCTTGATTTTATCTAGCATAGGTTTATACTGTTCTATTTGAGTCTGCTATCCCAATTTGTGTTTCTGTTTATGCAATCTAGGCCATGCACTGTTTTGAAAGTTTTCATACCTACTCTCTGTTGGTTGAAAAATGCATAAAAACTAATTTGTTGCTATCTTTAGTTCTTTCCCCAGTATAGTGTTTTTCACCTAAAAAGCCCTGTGCAAACAAGTGATTTGCGAAAACAATGTGGCATGCATGCTTTTTGTTCTAACAAATGTCAGCGCAATGCATTGTCTATTATAAGCTAATTGATATGCACAGTTTAAGCATTAAAGCTAAATGGAACATGATTGAGTTTAACAATTAGGTCCAACAGTAAGCCAAGCAATAACCAATAATTAAAGTCTTTACCTGTCTTCATTGTTTAGTTATCATCAACACATCCTGAAACACAGGTTGAGCGGTTACATATATTAGTCAGGCTTTGTTTACAATAATTTAGCAGCATTTTAATGCATCTGTATCAAACAGAATGACTGAAAAAAGACAGTTTAAATAACGGATATCTGCTTCTCGACTTCATGATTTTGCACTACAACATTTAAATGAATCACACTGCAAAGTATAACATGTTTGACATCATATGGCCATAAAGAGGAAAAAGAAATTGAACCTTGTATACTAAAAGGTTTTTTTCTTTGTGGTATGCATACTTTGAAGCATTTCACAGTGCGTATCAATCAATGTTGGATCCAAATGATTATTTTTAAATGCTCTTCAATGACGGGTTGGGAGTTATGTGTGCATGTTCTGTTATGTTTAAATAATAATGATACAGCACATATTACAACTATGAACATATGTATCCCTGACATTAAGAGTACTGTCATTGCACACGTGTCTAAACAAATGATTTTAGGCACAAAATGGATAGCTGAACTTTGGCTAACTGCACAGATGGATAAATGAACAAGCATAATTTGGTGCTGAAATACGTTTCTTATGCATTTCAAAGAAACATTGTGAACTCCTTTTTATGCATGAGCGCATTCAGCTCAGCTCAGCTATCATTACATGCACACAGCGACTAACACAACATGTGCTCTCTTTAAAAGAAAAGTATTAGCTATGTGTGCATTATGTTCATTTAAAGTGTTGCATTCAACATGTTTACAGCGATTTAAGCATTTTTTTATTGGTTGCATTGAAGTACCTCAACCTTGAAGATGTACTTTATATTCACAACCTGAATAATGATCCGTTTACTGTAGGGTTACTTTTGTATCCAGAAAATGTGGTCGTTATTTTAATGATTCACACGCAGAGCACAATTGTGAGGTAATTGTGTCCTCATCAGGGCAATTGTTTTTCATCTGTGTAAATTGGGATCGTCTGCGATGCAGGGACAGGATACTTATGCAAAAAGCTAATTTCAGCATTGTATCTCTGCTAGGAAGTTTCCTAACATAAAGTTATATTAAAATAAATATGAGCTAGAGTTTTAAAATAAAAATGTCACTAAGAAGTAGATTTCAATGTAGGATTTTTAAAGGCTGTGAATGCGTTTGCAAGGCACAGTAACATGCTATTGGAAATGTCAATCATGCTAAATAATTTAAAGATAAAAGGCATATACCAATATATTATCTGCAATGCAGTCTTATTTCAAACAAAATGCTGTTCAATATTATTGGTAGCACTTTACAATAAGGTCTTATTTGGTAACACTGTTAACAATGCAAGCATTCATTAGCATGAGCAATATATTTTTACAGCATATTAACCTTTGTTAATTTTAGTTAATGCAGTGCATTAACTAATGTTAACAGACGCAACATTTGATTTAAAACATTTATTAATAAATGAAAAAAGTAACATTATTTGAAGATTAATAAATGCTGTAGAGGTATTTATACTAGGGCTACTGCAGTTAACTAATGTTAAGACATGAAACCTTATTGTAAAGTGTTACCATATTATTTTGTATACACCAACTCAGTTTTTATGCTACAAGCAAATTTATGCATCACACCATTATAATACATATATATATATATATGATACCTAAGCAATGCTCAGAGTTATAGTCTTTTGCACTCAGTGCACTCAGTGAACTGTAAACAAACTTTGCATAAAAAATGACACACTCCAACTCTATCTTAAGACACAGTACATTCTGAAATCTGATAATACACATATATATATATA